CAGATGAATTCCTTCCTCTATAACTTGGGTAGAGGGAAAACTCTTGCATGGCAAAAAGCAAATACTAGCAAAGTAAAAAAATAAATGACATGATAGGAGAAAATGTTTACAGCATGTATCACAGGAAAAGTGCGGAGAAGTTATTAATGTCTTTAACAATGGACCTTTAAAAATGAAGGGGAAAATATCAAACATTCTGTGAAAAATGGGTAAAAAAAAAATAGAAGCCAATTCAAAAGAAATTATACAAATGGCCCTTAAAACATAAAAAGTTAAGACTTCACTCACAATAAAAGAAATCCAAACTAAAACTACACTGAGATACCATTTTCACCCAACAGATTGGCAAAATTTAAAAAGCTTGACAGTACACTCTACTATTAGATTATAGGAGAACACAAACTATTTTATGTTGCTGGCAGGAATCTAAAATTGTGTAATAGAGAGGAATTTAGCAAAACTACATGTGGATGCACTCTTCAATCCAATCATCTTGCCTCCAGGAATTTATACTAGAACTGTACCCTTAATGTTACAAAAGTACATATTTATAAGGTTATTCAATGCAAGTATTATTTTTAAGTATAAAATACTGGAAATTAAGGATTCCTAAATATCAAAGATTATTTGTATAAACTATATAGTACATATACCTAAGGAGTACATTAGTGGAAAATAATGAAGACAATCTCCATAAACTGACAGGAAGTAATTTCTAGGAAATACTGTCAAATGAAAAAAGAAAAGTTGGAAACAATATACAAAATACGCTACATTTTAGGTAAGAATGTGGAAATAAGAAAATGTACATATATCAGTAGAAAAAGAAACATAAGAAGAATCAAGTAGAAAACAATGATGGCAACCAATGAGGGATGGGGGAAAAGGATGAAAGGGATATGAAAGAAAGTGCTCTCTAAGGCTCCAACTTGCTAGGCAGGGACTCTGCCATTTGATCTCCCAGCCCTAAGAATGTTTGTTGTCGATGTTATTTGGCAGAACTGGGGTATGAACTCAGGGCCTTGCACTTGCTAGGCAAGTATTCTATCACTTGAACCACATCTCTGAGAGGAAGTGACACTTCGCTAAGTACACCTTAAAAGAAAAATTGTGTAGTTCTGCTTTTTGGAAGCAGGTTAATCTTCTACATTTAAAAAAAATAAAAGTAGATAAAGAATGGAAGGGGTACGAGATAAAAACCTAAAACAGGAAAAACTGGAACAAATTTTAAATGAAGAGGAAAAAGAAATAAGAACAGTATCTGACTTTATTGCTCCTTAGTCAGGCTGGAGAACTGAAAACTTCTCTTGAACTCTATTGCATAGGATTCTTTTTTATTTTCATTTTTGATGGCATGAACAAAGAAATTTTGAAACTATTTTAGATACATTACAGAAATGAGCAAAAGAGCAAATGTGTTAATGTTTATAGGAACCAGAGTTCTCACAGTGGAAGAAGGTACATAATAAATATGGAATGGAGAAGGCAAAAAAGAAACCTGGGAGGATCAACTAGAATATGTTTATGCACAAATTCATTTCTAATGCATCTACACATAGGTACATATATATACACACAGTATGTAGGAATATATGCATGTGTAGTTGCATATAAACTCATATGCACAGTATTATATATGCATATATATTTCCAGGCTCACCTTCTGAAATATCTAGGACCCAGATCTTGGTGTCTAATATCATCTCCCCACTAAAAGAAAAAAGGTTCCTTGAAGAAATGACTGATACCAGAGTTTACGCAGGTAGAAGATGAACCACAAATTAATAAAAGTCCTCTGGAAAAAAAAAATACAAATATATCACAAAGACAGATACAATATGAAAAGGCTGGGAAAATCTGGGATAATTTGAACAAAGTAATTAAGGAATGTCGTGGATTATATACCACCAGAGGGGAAAAAAAGGGAGACTCTATTAGCTGATATTAATAAGAAATATAACAAGTATTGATCAATAACTACAGAAGGAGTACTGGAGTTGGAAAACTATCCCTTTGCAATCACCTAAGAAAAGTCAAGAATCATATTAACAGATACTAAAACTGACAAAAGTAAGGGGCCGTTTAGATAAGTATAATATTTATAGGGTCTTCAAGAAATCCTTTTGAACACTGATGCTGGAATTAAAAATGAAGGACAGTACTGTAAAATAGGTCCTGTGAGGGAATGGGTACTTGTGGACGAATATATAGAGGAGATAAAGGAGGGTGAATATGGCCGAGGTACTTTATATACTTAAGTGAAATAGAACAGTGAAACCTTTTGTTATTAAGTAGGGGCGGGGTGGGGGGGGGGATGAGGAAAGAGATTATGGGGACAAACTTAAACAATGTACAATGTAAACGTATTGAGAAATGTCACAATGAATCCCCTGTATAACTAATATACACTAATAAAAATGCTTCAGAAAAAAAAATATTTACAGGGTTGTAATGTGTCTCTCAACAAATTGCTTATTAACTACAAGGGGAAAACATAATAATTATTATACAATGCAAAAATCAAGCACCACGTTGATGAGCTAATCAAAATTTATATTACCCAAAAGGGGAGACAGCCATCAAGTATATACCATGAAAATGTATAACCTGAATCTAATCATAAGAAAGCATCAGCCAACTCAAAATGAAGAACATTCTAAATAAAAAATAAAGGAGAAGGGACAGGATTCCTCAAAGTGCAAATTTCTTAACAGAAAAAGAAAGACTTTGGAGGCTGGAGGTATATATCTCAGAGGCAAAGTGTTTGTCTAGCATATGCAAGGTGCTGGGTTTCCTACCCTACCAGAGCAAAAAAATACAAAGACAGAGAAACAGGAAAAAAAAAAAAAAGAGAGAGACTAGAAGGGCACCAGTGGCTCACATCTGTAATGTTAGCTGCTTGGGAAGCTGAGATCCAGAAGACTGTGGTTCAAGGCCACCCCAAGCCAAAAAAGTTCAGGAGACACCATCTCAACCAATAGCTGCATATGCTGGCATGCACCTTGTCATCCTAAGCTACATGAGAGGCTGAGATCAGAAGAATCATGGTTCCAGGTCAGCCCAGGCAAAGGAAAAAAAAAAAAGTGACACTGTCATAACAGAAAAAAAACTAAGTGTGGTGGTGCACAGCTGTCATTTCAGCTATGGCAGGAAGCCTAAAATAAGAGGATCGTAGTCCAGGCCAGCCCAGGCAAAAAGCGAGACCCTATCTCCAAATTAACCATATGGAAAAGGGCTGGAAGTGTAGCTCAAGCAGTAGAGTGCATGCCTCGCAAGCACAAAGCCCTGACTTCAAATGCCAGTACTACCGAACAGAAAGACAGTGAGAGAGAAAGAAAACGGGAAGGCTTTAGCTATGTTCTAGATCACAGAGATCAAAGAAACACTAACAATAAAATATAATACCTGATTATAGACTTGAAAGGGAAAATGATGTCATAAAGAACATTACTGACAAAAGTGGAGAATGTTAAAGTACTGTATTAATACATATGGAAACATACACAGTTATTATGCAGCAGAATATATCATTATTCTTCAGCTATATATGTTCAAACATTTGAGAGGGAGGAGTTGGATGTATGCAACTTCCAAGTGATGCATGAAAAATTATAAACAGAATAAATAATAAAGCAAATGAGGCCCAATGTCAACAACAGCTTAAGCTGGGTTAGAATATATGGGTGTTCTCTGTTCTATTTTTATTCTTGTAACTTTTCTGTAAGTTTGATGTTATTTCCAATAAAAAGCTTAAAATGTGGAGAAGGCACTTAGGATGATGAACATAGGGAAGAGAAAAATATGTTAAGGGTAAGATATATGAAGACACTGGTAGAGTCAGAAAACAAGAGACTCCCTTGTGAATTAATTCAATAACAACAACAGCACAAGAAGCACTGAAAAACTTTCCATAAGCTAGAACTCTTGTTCATCTCATGTGGTCAGAACATCCAGTTAGTTAATAGTGTAACAGGTAGCTGACAGAACCTAATGTAAAAAGAGGCAGCACTATGATAGCAGTCAGGAGCATGAGCTCTAGAGTTGGACTACTGAGTTTGAATCCTTTGAAACATATATTACATATGACCTTGGCCAAGTCACTTATCTTCAAGAAGATTTTAACAAGTATCTCCATGTTAGTTGTCATAAATATTAAATTAGATAGTAACAGTGCATAGCATAGAAGCAGACACATTTACTATTCAACAAATATTAGCTTTGTACCATTACTACTCAAGGAACAATGGCTACAGAGAGAGAGACACTAATCATAAACTTCTGAACCACAATGGGTTGAGTCAGACAAAGCTGAATATAAGTACTCCCTGGGCATGGGCAATATTAAGCAAAAACAATCTGAAAAAAGAAAAACGTCAGAGAATCAGATGAAGCAAGCTTGAAGTTCTAGAACTTCCACACAGTTAATTAGCAGAACATCCCAATCAAGTGCAGGCAGAACTCAGGTCATGGTCATACCACAAAGGTTCTAGTGCATTGATACTTAGTCACTTTTACTTCCACACTTACTTATAACTACCACAAACCAAATCAAAGATGAACTATGTTAGCTATTTTAATCTTTCTAAATATATGGTTATATACTTAAAAACATGAATACTTTTCTTTTTTTTTTTTAAATCTTGTCATTCAAGTCCTTCTTCCTCAAGGGTTTTTCTATTTCAATACTGCCCCCTTTCCCAATGACTTGACATGTCTACAATGTTCAGTATTCCAAGTTTTTCTGTTGTCAAAAGTTAGACTGCTGCTCCCTCTAGTGGTTTACTTGAAATAAGACCCACAAAATTCTATTGGCTTCAACTTTCAAGTAGCTAAAGTGTTACTTATACATGTATACGGCTGCCTCTTAGCCACTACCCTTTGACAGTTAAAAGATTCTGTCCATTTAATCTCTCACTGAAAATATGGCTAAGACTTTCACCACTATAAACAAGCATCATCTCCACACTAGCTTAACAGTGCAATTAGTGAAATTAAAATACCTGTTCCCACAAATGGATCAAACACAGTATCGTTTTCTTTCACTCTTCCATGGTTGGCCATGATGAATGACAAGCCAGCATCCATGCTTGTATTTCCAATAAAGTGTCTCTTTTTGACACTGTATGACTCGATTAGCTCTCTCTGCCCGTCTGCGATCTAGATCAGAGATACTTTCACGTTAGTAAACCACACAGACTTTAAAAACCATTTGCACTATAACAGCATCTTGCTGATGAGAAAAGATTTCTACTTACTACTGTTCTAAACTCATTGTTTTAAAAGTAGGTAACTGGGGTAGTTTCAGACAGACATCTTGTATTTCTTTAATGTCTTTACATGTGCTTTGTCTTTTCACACCAAATATGAATTAAATTTGAATATAATTATTCCAGGGGTTGATGGTACACTTTTCCCCATGTCCTGTTTTTTCCCCTAACAATAAGCTATAACATGAGTCTCATCTTCCACTCTTCCACTTATTGCCTCAGGGAAGTGGGCAGAACTGCTCTGCAGTAATTCTATTTCCTTTCAGAATGGAAGACCTGTATCTGTTATCTCTACAAATGAGATCTTTGAACTATCACATACCCTCTCTCGGCTTAATTTGCTTCATAAATAATAAAAAGCAACCCAGAGTTTCTGGTAAATCTTTCTTTAATGTTACTAAGTATACCTTCTCCTCCTTCCTAGATCATATATCTAACAGGCCTTGTACTTTAGAGGAATCTCTGGAAAATCATAATTACATAATCTTCATCAATTTTAATATATACAATAGCTTTGACTTTTCAGCCACTTTAAAATTCTATGCAATCCTAGCTACTTGGGAGGCAGAGATCAGGAGGATCTCTGAGGCCCTGAGGCCAGCCCAGGCAACAAAAGTGAGACCCTATCTCAAAAATACTTAACACAAAAAAGGGCTGGCGAAGTAGCTCAAGTGGTAGAGCCCCTGCCTAGCAAGTGTGATGCCCTGAGTTCAAACCCCAGTACCAAAAAACAAAGAAAAATTCATAACTCATCTCAACCAATGATTGCGTGCAGTGGTATAAGCCTGTTATCCTAGCTACTTGGGGAAGCACAAATAGCAGGAACAAAGTCCAGGCCAGCTGGGGCATAAAGCAAGACTATATCACAAACAATGCAAAAAGGGCTCGCAAAGAGGCTCACCTAGTAGAGCGCTTACTGTGTTCAACCCCCAATATTGTCAAAAAACAAACACAGTCTATCATTTAGTTTAGTTGTTGAGAGCTTTTGCTTTTTTTTCCCCCAGAGCTGGAGATAGCACAGGGCCTCATGCATGCTTGGCAAGTGCTCTACAACTAAGCACATTTAGCTTTAAAAAAAATAAAATGAGATATACAGAAATAATATTTGCTTACCCATCTACCAAAGTAAATGTTATGTGGATTCTCAGGGATGCAGTTTGGGTCCAACCCATAATCCTCCAAAATAGAGAATATATGCTGTGGTTTCTTTAAGTTCACTTTTCCTTCAAATGGCAAAAATTCAAGTGCCTAAAAAAACAAAGGTAGTTCTAATAGCCTATAAAAATTCACAAGAAAAAAAAAGTTTACCTAGTAATACCTAGCTTATATGGTTTGGTGTGAGCACTAAATAATAAAACATGAAAATTGCTTAGTACAAAATGTGATACAAACAGCACTTTAACAGACATTAGGTATTCTTTTATACCAATAACAGACATTAATCTTATAAATTTTTGGTTTTGCTAAATTCACTTACATCTATTCGCTTGATTTTTTCTTCTTGTGTTAATGTTTTATTAAAGGTGTGAATCTTTATTTTATATGTAGAGCCTGAATGCAGAAATGGAACCTAAAATAGAAGTAGATAAGTTTTTAAGTTTATGAATTCTATAGAATCTGCACATATGCCCATATAATGCCACATTTCAATACATACCATCTTCTCCACAGGATAATTTTTAAGAGAAGTATACAGTTCCTCAGGAGATTTTCCATGACCCCACAGTTCAAATATAGACCTAGGAAACAAATTATTAGTACAGATCTCAGTAAAGAACTTAATGCACATAGTAACACACAACAGCTATTTTAGTAGCTTTTTATATGCTTGCTCCACTAAAATAATTATTGTCTGTGTTTTCTAAGCTAAAAATGAGAAACATGTAATCTGGAAACAAATCTAACAAGTCCAAACCACACAAAGAAGTTGAACTTTACACAGGAGGAAAATTCAGTTTACGTTAGGAGTTTCCAAAATTTTCGTGTGTGTGTGTGTGTGTGTGTGTGTGTGTGTGTGTGTGTGTGCTGAGGATTGAACCCAGGGCCTTGTGCATGCTAAGCTTACGATCTACCAGAGTTATATCCTAGTGACCTCATGCCCCACCATTATACTTTTATACCAGATCAAATGCAATAAAATCACAAAAATTAATGAACTGGGAGAAAAGTTTAAAAAATTCCATTTTCCCAATAGAACAAAAAGCACTGTATAAAAACATTACTATCAATATTTAGATATTATTTGATAATGCTTATTAATATGACTCAAACTGTTGAGATCTAACAAGATAGATACCTAGAGGCTTGCAACACTTTTCACAGTATGCTCAAAATATTTTATATCAAAAATGAATTAGTTAAAATAAGCGTCATTCTACCACAGAAAACTTTGAGTTTAATTCTGAATACATCTTTATGAGTCTATTTTCATTCTCTACAATTAGATTACAAATACTATCTTGAAAATGAATTCTTCCTTTTCTTTCTTTTGAATTTATACAACCAAAACTTAAGCAGTAATACTATTTTTTCTTTTGTTTTGTATTTTTGAAATAGGGTCTCACTATATAACTGAGGTCAACTGGGAAGTTGCTACCTCAAACCTGCAATCCTCCTGCCTCCACTTACCAAATGCTGGAATTATAGGTATGTGTCACCAAGAAATACTACTCTTACTTAGCAATCTCTTAAGGTATACCTCAGCTACACAAATTACACAGAAACTAAAATGTAACCAAAGAAATCATTATATATTATATAATATTATACAATTATTAATTTTACCATTCATTAATACATGCATTAGAAGGTCTGAGCTTTAAAAGAAGTATATGAGTTCTTAGTACTCAAGTAGCTTTTTAAATCTAACAAGCCTTCTTTCTGGAATTCAAACACCTTATAGTCATAAATTTTAATATAATAAAGCAGTAGTTATTCAAAGGCTATTTTTTAGTTATATTCTCATTTTCTAGTCATTTTTATTTAACAAAAAAGAACCATTAGCAAGCTGCAGTGTAAGAGGATTTGAGAGATTTAGGGCTGCAAGTAGGAGAGATTTAGGGCTGCAAGTAGTTCTCAATAGGATGAAGTTAACTAAATATGGGGTTGTAGCCAATTAAATAATACCTCACACTATAAAACACTGTTAACCATGTTAACAAGACTAGGCATATATGTAAATTCTTATTTGCATTGCACTAAATGTAGTATCTAAGGAAAGTTTTCAACAACTTGCCAATATGTTCAGCAAAAAAAAAGGAATTTTAAAATGTATTAATCAAAAATTTTTTAGAAAGAAAAGGGAAAGGGAATACATGTCAATGACAAAAGTCCATACACAGAATGAATTTCATTAATTTACACTAAAAGCAATTAATTCCTTTCTCTAGCAAATAAACCAGTAAAACATATTTCACAGCAGTCCCCACATTAGGTTTTCTTATACTTTATCTATCTGCTCAAATAAAAATCAGGATAAGAAAGAATTTTTGCCACAATTAAATGTTGCATTTATCCCATGTAAAAATAAATCATTTATATCCCATACTATATGCCTGCTTAATGTAGAAGTTCAAAATTACTGTTCCGAAAAAGTTTCCACATTTCCACTGAGATTCTCTTGCCCTCAGTTTCAGCAGATAACTGTCCTTTTTTCCTCCACCTCACACCTTACACCTTACATGCTGTGGTAAACACATGTAAATGTAAGCTATTCTGATTTCCCTCCACAACCATCCTTCTCACAAAAGGACGGCAAAAATTAGGATACAGTAGTTATGAAAAGTATGATACACACACATGCAGAAGAAGTTTCTCTTACTTGGCACACACTGTCCGTTTCATTAAGTTTCTTGCAATATCTTCAGAGGGAATATTAAGAATCCAAAATGGAGACTGAAAGAAATAACAACATGCAACTTACTTCTTAGTGGCTACATGGCCTGTATGCTTCAGTTCAAGAAGCTACCTCACCTTATATTCTTTGATTCAAGAAGTCAACAGGAGAAATTCCTACTTGCTCCTTTTATGTAAGAATACCTGGTCTGGCTGTAATCAAAATAAAAATCACTGATAGTAAAAAGGAAAATTAAGCAAGCTATGCATGGTAACAGGTACCTGTAATCCCAGGATATCGGAGGCTGAGGCAGGAGGAGGATTCCAAGTTCAAGACTAGCCTGGGCTACATGGGGAGAACCTGTCTCAAAAAAAAAACAAAAAAAGGAAAGAATACTTTTACAAATAACCCTATAAATGAAACTATCAGCAAATTAAATTTAAACTTAGCTTTGTATGTGCTTTTATGTAGCTTAGCTAAAAGAATAAATGCATGTTATATCACAGAATAGAATCGTGGAATTTTTTGGCATTGGCAACCATTCCTTATAATATAGCTATTTTATTTTTAACTCCTAAGTAATGTATTTCTTAAATTATTAAATGGTCCCTCTTTTTTCAAGACAAGATCTCACTAGGAAGCCCAGGCTAGCCTTGAACTCAGAATCCCCCTGCTCAGCCTTCTGAGTGCTAGGATTACAAGCATGTACCATCAGAACTGTCCTGATCAATTTTTTTCTAGATATTTTTGGCCATCTGAGGGGTAGGTAATGGGCTCTGTGGAGTAACTATGATGGAAAGTCCTGAAGTAAATTGTTATCATTAACCTTCATTATTTTATCTTTTCATCTGAGGAAAAAAAACTCCAGGTATATCAGGAGACTTCTGAATCCCATCTCAACACCTGACGTAACAGTCCCTACCAAAATAATCTCTTGCACAGCCAAGCACAAGAGTGTCTGCACCTCAATTCATCATTCTTACCCAATTACATCCACACTCTCTCTCCCTTCCTCCTTCTCTCAATAGGTGAAAGTTACTCAGGAATAAACCTCCAACACTAGGGGACTTTCAAATTTAAGTTCTCTCAGCTTTTACAAGAAATCCTCCCTGGCATACCTAGTCTCTCTTCTTCCAATATTTACATTACCCTACTGAAAATTTCAAAATGATTCAAACAGGGGAAAAAAAAAAGATTATCATCTTAGTATTACTTAATATTATTTTACTGGGAAAAAAAATTTTTCATTTTTTTTAGCAGCACTGGGGTTTGAACTTAGGGCCTCATGCTTGCTAGGCAGGCACTCTACCACTTGAGCTACTCCACCAGTCCCTGGGAAAAATTTTTAAGTAATTTTAATTAAAGGAATAGTTAGATAAATTATAATAGACCTAAGCATCACACAGCTAAGTTAGTGATGATGGCTAAGAACAGCATATGCCTATATAAATACTATCAAATGAAAACGACAGACTACAGAAGTCCATGGTAAGTAGTACTACAACTAAAAAAGAATAAAGGCCAGGCACCAGTGGCTCACGCCTGTAATCCTAGCTACTCAGGAGGCAGAGATCAGGAGGATCGAAGTACGAAGCCAGCTGGGGCAAATAGTTCACGAAACCCTATGTTGAAAAAACCCACCACAAAGAAGGACTGATGGAGTGGTTCAAGGTGTAGCCCCTGAGTTCAAACCCCAATACTGCAAAAAAAAAAGAAGAAGAAGAAAGTACATGAAAAGGACTGAAAGGCAGCATTATCCCCCAAATTATGAGTCATATCAAGGAGGAACACTGTGAATTATTTTTTCTTTTTCTGTTTTCCAAATTATCTAAAACACTGACAAACTACAAACATATAATACAAAGCTCATACAGTCTTACACAATGCAATTTCAACTTTAAAAATGATTCCTATATAAGCCTGAAATTCAGCTAAATTCTAATTCTGGATTTACGTCATTCATGAAAGATAGTCCCCCTTTGAGCATATGATAAAAGCGAGAGCACACAAGGGAGGGGTGAGGATAGGTAAGACACCTAAAAAACTAGCTAGCATTTGTTGCCCTTAATGCAGAGAAACTAAAGCAGATACCTTAAAAGCAACTGAGGCCAATAGGAAAAGGGGACCAGGAACTACAGAAAAGGTTAGATCAAAAAGAATTAACCTAGAAGGTAACACTCACGCACAGGAAATCAATGTGAGTCAATGTCCTGTATAGCTATCCTTATCTCAACCAGAAAAAACCCTTGTTCCTTCCTATTATTGCTTATACTCTCTCTACAACAAAATTAGAAATAAGGGCAAAATAGTTTCTGCTGGGTATTGAGGGGGTGGCGGGGAGAGGGAGAGGGGGGAGAGGGAGAAGGCTGAGTGGGTGGTAAGGGAGGGGGTAGGGGAAGGGGGAGAAATGACCCAAGCCCTGTATGCACATATGAATAATAAAAGAAAAAAAAGAAAGAAAGAAAGATAGTCCCTTTTTCAATGAAAGAACAGGTAAGAATTACTGTGAAATTGTTGAATAAAAATTAAAACTGAACTGGAACTAGAATGTGTGGTGCCCTGGGTTCAATTCCCAGAATCACAAAATAAATAAATAAAATTCTGTTATTTTCCAAAAGCCACAATTTTTACCATGCTTTTTTATTCCGTTGCTTCTAGTTATAGACACAAATTACCACACAAATATACATTTAAGCATTGTAATTCTCTTCAAATCCAAAATTCTATTTCAAAGTATACTCAACATGGTCTACTGAAAATTCACCTTACCTTTCCATAAGTTTCCTGACTGCTGGTGAACTGGCCTCCAAAAAGTGAAAGCAAAGACTTTATTTCCTGTATTGAAAATATTACAGAGAGAATACATTTTAAACATGGAACTCAAGTGACTATGAGAAACAGATCTAACACAATTTAAAAAATAAAAAAGAGTGGGCTGATATCTAGTTGCAACATTTAACTTTTAACATCAACTAATTACAACTCAGGGTTCTAAAAAGATTTTATAGTCACAGCTATGGTTAAGTAGTTTCTGAGAAATTTTACACAACATGAGGGTTGCCAAAAGACTTGATTAGAAAATGTCTTGATTTTGAAAGGAAAATAAAAAACAGATTACAGACACTACAGATTATTAAATCTGAAAATCAATTAAAAATAAAATGAATTATTAAACAGATGATTTGAGAATGTTTAGGAAAAAAAACAATCAGCTTGGGAGCATCACTGTGCATTCACTAAGCACAAGTGCATTGAGTTAACTTCCTTTCTTAATAGTTACAGAACTAGAAAAGAGAGCTAACACAATAGGTACTGTAAATGCATTATGCCTGCAATGCTGAAATGTCATTGGTGTGTTTATTCTTTGAAGCAATCACCTTTTACTGATACACACAGGATGACTATACAAATTTTATGATTTGCATCACTAACAAATTATCTCCTTAAATAACATAAAGCAAGGAGAACCTCCCTCTTCTGTGAAAGTAACCTAATGAGGGGTTAAGTGTTCCTATAATCCTCTTTCCTCCCAACCAGAAGGAACCTTAACATGGACTGTGAGTCACAGTCATCAGGAAGGAAAGTATGCCCACACTACCAGGTTTCTCACTCCAAGATAAAAAGAATGAGCAACTGATGCTATTTCTATTTTTCTATGTCTATGCACCAAATTATTTCTTACATTAGAATGGACTGAATTCAGTTCAAACATATGGATATACCACAAACCAGCACAGACTATCAATAAGTCAGCAAAAGTAGCCCAAAGATTATTTTGCAACATGAATTTAAATAGGAGACATTATGAGACTTGGGAGTAAGTTTCATTTTCAGATCTTCTGTATACTAGCTATTTACTTTTATACAAAACGCATTAAGTCCTTTGACTCTCAGTTCACTCGTGTAAAATAGGAATCATAGCTACTTTATGAAATTAGGAGATCTGAACAAAGAACACAGAATATTAGGCCGTTATTAAGGGAATAAAGAGGATGAAGACTCCAACACTGTCCCTGAAGTTCAGTGGCTCCAGAAGTCAAGGAAGACTAAGAGAATTACAATACTCTAAAAATGAAGTTAAGATTAAGTTATTGGGTCTTGCATGACTGTTGCTCGTTCTATTATGAAATTCACATTATGAAATCAGTTTTACATTCACAACACCCAACCTTAACTGGAGGTGTGGCTCAACCAGTAGGGAGTATCTGCTTCTGCAAGCATGAAGTGCTGAGTTCAAACCCCAGTATTACCAAAAATAAAAAACTTAAAAAGTTAAAACCAAAATTTGCTGTCCTTGGAATATACTGCTAAAAGTCAGCTATAGGAGAAAACATAAAGGTCTTAAGAGTTGAGGGGAGGGGAAAGCGTGAAGGATTATCAGAAGTTTAATGTCACAGAAATAGCTCCATTGCCCAAAACTTAAGTAACTACTTAAAAGTGAGGGTAAACGTGATAGGTCATTTCAAATTTCTAAGCAAAATGTTTGAACTACTCAAACTATTTGGAAAAAGCAAAACACAGTATTTTCACTCATCTTATGGCAAATTCACTTTCCAGTTGAGAATCTTTCTACATTAAGAACAAAAAAGAAATGTCCACTGAACACCAATATAAAAGTGTGGCATGATCTGAGGCATGTGTAATACATTTGCATGCACTTTTCAGAATGTTAGCTACTCCCTTTTTCAGTCATTCAGATTGCTTCAGAATCAGCAATAAGACTCAGGTGTGTGAACTTTACTCTCAGTACAGTTAGGCAGCTGACAACTAAAATTGGCCTGATGAACTCTATCAGTGGTAAAACTGGGCCACATTTCCATTCCTAATCTCCCATTTTAATTTCTAAAGGCAGCTACCCATTAACAGATTTTTTTATTAGTATTGTTGTTTTCTGTTTTCTTTTTTTTTTTTTCATTTTTCTTTTATTAGTCATATGTGCATACAAGGCTTGGTTCATTTCTCCCCCCTGCCCCCACCCCCTCCCTTACCACCCACTCCACCCCCTCCCGCTCCCCCCCTCAATACCCAGCAGAAACTATTTTGCCCTTATCTCTAATTTTGTTGTAGAGAGAGTATAAGCAATAATAGGAAGGAACAAGGGGTTTTGCTGGTTGAGATAAGGATAGCTATACAGGGCATTGACTCACATTGATTTCCTGTGCGTGGGTGTTACCTTCTAGGTTAATTCTTTTTGATCTAACCTTTTCTCTAGTTCCTGGTCCCCTTTTCCTATTGGCCTCAGTTGCTTTAAGGTACCTGCTTTAGTTTCTCTGCATTAAGGGCAACAAATGCTAGCTAGTTTTTTAGGTGTCTTACCTATCCTCACCCCTCCCTTGTGTGCTCTCGCTTTTATCATGTGCTCATAGTCCAATCCCCTTGTTGTGTTTGCCCTTGATCTAATGTCCACATATGAGGGAGAACATACGATTTTTGGTCTTTTGGCCAGGCTAACCTCACTCAGAATGATGTTCTCCAATTCCATCCATTTACCAGCGAATGATAACATTTCGTTCTTCTTCATGGCTGCATAAAATTCCATTGTGTATAGATACCACATTTTCTTAATCCATTCGTCAGTGCGGGGCATCTTGGCTGTTTCCATAACTTGGCTATTGTGAATAGTGCCGCAATAAACATGGATGTGCAGGTGCCTCTGGAGTAACAGTCTTTTGGGTATATCCCCAAGAGTGGTATTGCTGGATCAAATGGTAGATCGATGTCCAGCTTTTTAAGTAGCCTCCAAATTTTTTTCCAGAGTGGTTGTACTAGTCTACATTCCCACCAACAGTGTAAGAGGGTTCCTTTTTCCCCGCATCCTCGCCAACACCTGTTGTTGGTGGTGTTGCTGATGATGGCTATTCTAACAGGGGTGAGGTGGAATCTTAGTGTGGTTTTAATTTGCATTTCCTTTATTGCTAGAGATGGTGAGCATTTTTTCATGTGTTTTCTGGCCATTTGAATTTCTTCTTTTGAGAAAGTTCTGTTTAGTTCACTGCCCATTTCTTTATTGGTTCATTAGTTTTGGGAGAATTTAGTTTTTTAAGTTCCCTGTATATTCTGGTTATCAGTCCTTTGTCTGATGTATAATTGGCAAATATTTTCTCCCACTCTGTGGGTGTTCTCTTCAGTTTAGAGACCATTTCTTTTGATGAACAGAAGCTTTTTAGTTTTATGAGGTCCCATTTATCTATGCTATCTCTTAGTTGCTGTGCTGCTGGGTTTCATTGAGAAAGTTCTTACCTATACCTACTAACTCCAGAGTATTTCCTACTCTTTCTTGTATCAACTTAAGAGTTTGGGGTCTGATATTAAGATCCTTGATCCATTTTGAGTTAATCTTGGTATAGGGTGATATACATGGATCTAGTTTCAGTTTTTTGCAGACTGCTAACCAGTTTTCCCAGCAGTTTTTGTTGAAGAGGCTGCTATTTCTCCATCGTATATTTTTAGCTCCTTTGTCAAAGATAAGTTGCTCATAGTTGTGTGGCTTCATATCTGGATCCTCTATTCTGTTCCACTGGTCTTCACATCTGTTTTTGTGCCAGTACCATGCTGTTTTTATTGTTATTGCTTTGTAATATAGTTTGAAGTCAGGTATTGTGATACCTCCTGCATTGTTCTTTTGACTGAGTATTGCCTTGGCTATTCGTGGCCTCTTGTGTTTCCATATAAATTTCACAGTAGATTTTTCAATCTCTTTAATGAATGTCATTGGAATTTTGATGGGAATTGCATTAAACATGTAGATTACTTTTGGGAGATACTTTATTTCTAAATACTTTATCATAAATCTAAGAACAGCAATACGATGGTCATGTTCAGGAAGTTTAAATTTAATACCATATTGTCACTTATTATATAGTAAATAAAATGTTGAATTAACGTCTTTCACAATTTTATTTCTTTCTACCCAGGATCTAAAGGAGGATTATGTATTATTTAGTTTTTAAGGGTCTGTAGTCTCTTTCCTTAATCTGAATGGTTCCCTCACCTTAGTTTTTCTTTCACAGCCTTTACCTTTTTGACTAGTGGAAGACAGAAGTTTCAGAAATTCTCTCAACTTAGTTATATATTTCTTCTACCAGGAAAACTTTACTCTCAGTACAGTTAAGCAGCTGACAACTAAAATTGGCCTGATGAACTCTATCAGTGGTAAAACTGGGCCACATTTCCATTCCTAATCTCCCATTTTAATTTCTAAAGGCAGCTACCCATTAACAGATTTTTTTATTAGTATTGTTGTTTTCTGTTTTCTTGAGACAAGTTTTCACTTTGTAGCCCAGTCTGGTCTCCAACTCCCAATCCTTCTGCCTCAGTCTCCCCAGAGCTGGGATTACAGAAGTGCACCACCATGCTCTACTTTGTTATAGCTTTCTGGACTAGTTCCAAGGCAGTAGATGAACCCAAAAACTAAGAATTCTTTGATTGCCTTCCCATAGAGGGATCCTATTTCATTCAATTCAACATCTATGGAGCAATTAATATGTATAAGGTACTGAGCAATGTGAAAATAAATATATATTTATCCTCAGGGAGCTGAAAGTCTAGTCGAATTAACAAAAACATTTAGCCCCACAACCAAAATGTGAAGTGCTCTTAAAAAAAAAAAAAAAAGCAGTTGGGCATTGGTGGCTCATGTCTGTAATCCTAGCAACTTAAAGGGAAAGAAGAGATCTCAAAAAGTACCCAACCCCAAAATAGACTGGCAGAGTGGCTCAAATGGTAGAGTACCTGCCTAGCACGCCTCAGTACCACCAAAAAATAAAATAAAATAAAATGAAAGCAAAAAAGTATTAATAGTACAAGAGAGGAAATGATTACTTCTGTTTTAAAAA